AAACAATGGCGGGGAAAACATATTTTCGATTGCATTTTTAATGGTTTTTGTTTTACTGCTTGCTTACCGCTTCTTCCAAGTTTCTTTTGTTGCAAGTGGATCAATGCTAATTGAAATGCGTGGCAAGCAGAAAGAAAAATCAGACGGAAAAAAAACAACATGAAGCAAGAAAAAAAAATCATTAAATATTTACACAAGCAGTTACAATCTGTACATACAAACACTATCGAGTATTTGCTGTATCTTGTATCTTTAGGTATTTCTATGAATTTAAACAATTCAGAACTATTGAGCACACAGTTTGGCAGCCATTAGGAAATTAGTGGGGCTTACTTTGTACCAAACTTTCGACCATTTTATTAGCCGCATTGCGTTGAGCTTCCAAAATAAATACTCCCCAAAGTGAATTTTGTAATTAATTCGTAATTAAACATTCTCCTTCTGTGAAATTCGCTACCGAAATGCAGTTGCTCATTTTGTAGTTTTTGATTTTTATACTCACTGGAAAGTTAGCAACAAGCGGAAAACTTGATAATCTGTTTAATAACCGTATCAAAGTTTTAAGGACACTCGCAACGAGCAAGCTTCTCCAGTTTAATTTGCTTCATTTTGGGATCATCAAACTGTTAGCTCATTTGTCACAGTTTGCCAGCGAAAATCTCAAACTGTGCGAGACCCATTTGACTTTTTGGTCAATCTATCGCTCCCCGGGGAAAACCCTCGAAATGGGGGAAAATAAACGGGTAAACTGCAATGCGGCGGGAATGGGCAGTATTTTCTGCGGACCACAAGGGGGAGGGAACAGCGTTCTTTATGATGGCCAAACATTGTCCCGCTGGTTGTAATTTGACATTGTAAATGCTGTTGACCGGCTTTCGGTTTGCTGCCTGTTTGTCAGCTTTTCCCTCTAACGTATTACCCATACATCAACACTTTGCATATTCCGATAGATCCCGGATAATTGTTTTGGTTGCCTAATCATGTTTGCTCATTTTTGCTGCCACTGATTTTTAGGTGAAAATTTTCCTAATAGTCTAAAAATTAAGAGGTATGAGGAGAAGAGGTTTGCTTAATTTTTTTAAATATGTATGTATATAATTCTAACTGAGCCTACTGAAATGAATTATCTCAAAGCTTTTTCCATTGCTGAAATCTTCATCTGCAGTCCAATTACGCCTTTACTAAGGTCAATATGGTTTTATTTAAAGCTTTTTATTGCCTTGCCTTCCGCTTTTGTGTTCCCTGCCATCCCGAGTGTGTAAATGTCCATTTAATGCAGAAATCCAAGCGCGTCGCCCGATTTACATTGTCAATAGAAAGGCATTAGGATAATGCTCGAAAGCCACACCAGGACAAACAAAATCCCCCCTTTGCGGGATGCCGCCCATGGCCATTTGTGGGTCAATCAATTTTTGACGCATTCAAACAATTGGTCGGGAAAATTTGATTTATCTAATGCGGTCGTTTCGGCGCCTCGATCGGAAATTCTTTATTAAATTAGGCGAGTGTATTGTGCAATAATTGCGATACGTGTATTTGTGGCTGTTAAATAATAAAACTATTTTGGTAGATTTCCCCATATAGGAAACATATAACTTTTGGTCATTAGAACCTTTGGAAAGCGAACAAAATGGTTGTTCTTCGTAGAACTGCGATTTATTTTTGGGCGAACTTTTGAAAGAGTTTTGTTAGCCAAAGGCGCTTATTGGCTTATAAAATGGCAATCCAGAGAGAAAGCTTGTTAACGGAAAATGTGCAGTGGCAACCGAAAAGAGATATTCGGTTTGTTGCCCAGATTGTGTGGCAGAAGCAGTTTGACAGGACATCGAGAGAATATGCCCCCCGAAGGCGAAATGAAAACTCTTTTTCCAGCCATAGACACAGGAATAACAGTATAATATCATGTGACATTGTTGATGAATATAACCCCCCTTTGCCCTTTTTTCTCTGCCAAAAATACCTACCAGAATAACCGCAAATGCAGAACGAAGGAACCGGAAAAAGCGATGGCAGAGGGAAAGTAATCGAATTTTCGTAGGTGCACACATAACTCGACCATGTTAAAATAGTTAATGAAATATAGGGATCAAGAGCATATTGGCATGGATCGATAATCAAAAGGACACGACAATACGTAATTAGAGCAATTTAAACGGAAAAATATTATTTAACTTAAGTAAATTGTTTAGTTTGAAGGACTAAAATGAAATTCACAACCATAAACGTAAAATAAAACCATCACTGAAACACTTTTCATTTATCGATCAACATTTTTCCTATTGAAAACGATAACAAACTTTCGCTTTTGATAGGTGCTCATTTTTCAGTTACCATATTTCTGCGCCGCTCTGATTACCGCAGTCGCGTTTAATTGACTTGCTGTTATGAAACGCACTGTGCTCCTTTGTTTACGTTATAAAGCCGCACAGTCATCATCATCACTGCTCTATGTATATTGTTTAAATTACATATATCTCTTTCACAGTCAATTCCCTTGGACAATCTTTTATAAATTATTTCGCTTCGCTCTCGTCTGCTGCTCTATTTTATGTGTACTATTTTTTTCGTGCCTTAACCTTCCCCATTCGTAACTTAAACAACAATACTAAGCGAGAAAAAGAGCTTAAAAAGTGATTTCATGTTCGTTGTCGGTGGTTTTCATAACTTTTGGTGTTTGCTGTAGTTGATTTTGTTGTACTTTTAACTTGAATGGCGATTTCTTTGCAGTGTTGAATTGATGTCACTATTTAATGAACAGAGATCGTAAGATCCTGAGTAAGATGGAGCCAATTATAAAACTGTCGGCTGGCATCTTTTGGGTTTCGTATGTTTGTCGTGCAACCCGAGATGTTGGCCAGAAGATATCTATGGGAAACACAAATGGTGAAAAAAAGGCCGAAAACTGATGATAAAATGAATGCATACAAAAAAAAAACAGTGTTATAATTAAATAAATCAATAGTTAAAGACCAGCTAATGCATAGCATACTCATTCAATTCAAAAAAAATTGTAAAGAATTTTAAGATGGACCCAAAAAACATATGCAATTTTGTTTTCACTGTAAAAAAAAATAAGAAAGGAGAAGAGGCAGGGCAACAAGTGCGGAAAGACAAGGCAAAAGTAAAGCAGCTGGACAAACAATTTCAATTTTTTGCCAGATTTCCTCGTCGTATTCTTTTCATTTTTCCGTTTCTCAGCCTGGCGAACAGTTTGACAGCCATTGTACCGCGGGCGAAAAGGGTCGGGCTGCACCTGCAGTGGCAGAATCAAATGGCCAAAACCAAAAAACACATAAAAACGAACCGCCAGACGGATAAAGAAGCGAATGAGACGGAAAATGATACAAAGCTCACAAACAATTTGGCCAATTCAGCACTTTCCACGCTCAGCTGCAGTTGATCGATGCCCCGCCCTCTTCTGTACTCCTCCCCAGCCCCATGACAAGGTCAAGTTGCAGTCAGTTAACTTAAATATCGCTAAAGTATTTGTACACAAGATCAGAGTTTCCTTTTTCCGTCGCTTCATAAACTTGAGACTTTTGATTTGACTGCCAGTTATTTACGCGGCGTATTTTGAGCCAGTAAATTAACTCCTAGGCTGCAAACTCTGCTGGCTTCTCCAGTTCATATTTGGATTTACTTAATGCATTAAATGTGGATTTACAACTTCCTATCTACAGATAGAGTTCAATTTGCACAACGATTTCAAGCTCCATGGAACGCCCCCGCAAAACCAAAGAGCCCCAAACACAAGCGGCAACACAAACAGAGCCTGAGGGACTCATTGTGGTGAGTCGAAACCCCCAAAACCCAGAAACACCCCGCTATAAACTATTCAGACGCTCCATGTTGAAAGCCCCAGTGCAAATGTGAGGTTATGTGCGAAAGCCCCAGCAGAAATTCAAATCGGAAATTTGTTGATTCCGTATTTAATATTTGGTTTGGCGGGCACATAATACAATGCACAATATAATGTTTGGTTCGCCAACCTCGGGGCAAGGATTTATTGCGCAAACAAATCGGCGCATAAATGAACAAACTGCAAGAATTGCACTGGGTATGAATACAGTGAGCTTCTATGAGGATATATTTCCCACAATTTTTAATACGATCAGCGAAAATTATTCGTCTTACAGTATAATCAGTATAATGCAAATGTAGATAAAAATTGGATTATTTATGTGGCATTCTTTTGCGTCGTCGCAGATAGATCTCATTTTGCCTCGTTGCAAACAGATCTTCTTGTATCTAAAAGATCGTCTTCCAATGAACGGAGGAAATGCATTGCACAATAACGAAATAAGATATTTTCTCAGGGAAAAAACTAAGAAAAATATAAAGAGGACAAAATATGATCCTATCTCACATTAGCTGAAAGCCGTTTTAACACTTTTGGAACGTTTTTAATCAGAATATGACAAAAAGTTTCGTTTTAAGTATTTTGTAATAAAACTTCACTAAAACCACGAAACTTGAGTTCTGGAATCTAGATTACGGAGCCCATTTCACAGTTATGCTTAATGATTCTGGTTCCATTTTTATAATTTTCACACAGAAGAATCACGGCGAAGAAAACCTTGAGAATTCCAGCAGATCGTGGAAAAGCGAAAAATATTTTTACACTCTTGAAAGAGAAGCTCAGATAAGCGGTTTTATTTTTACCCTGACTCTTTTGTTTTGCAGCGAGAACTGTAAAGATGTATTCATAGAAGTCAATCTTAATAAAGTTTTACTCGAGCTTCGATTTATAATATATGCCTGCCATATTTTGATAGGCGGAAAATTGAGAGCAGAAAAACAAAAAAGCCAATAATTGCAGCGGATCGTTCGAACTTCGAATTTAAATTCGAACTGCAAGCGCGACGGTTATTTTCAGTTCTCTTTTGTGCGGCTCCTTCTAATTTCGAAATTCCCACGGCTGTTTGTTTTGTACTTGTTTCTCGTCAAAAAAAAGAGCTGAAAATAAGGGAATGCAAAAGAACAAGAAGAAGATAACTTACCCGCGTAACAAAAAAAGCAGCTGTCGCAGTAGCAGATCAAAAACAGCGCTGCAAGCAGCGACGCCGACTGCGGCAGTGACGGCATCTTGATGACTGTTGTTGGTTTTTTTGGACGACGTCGGCGCAGCGACGACGCCGCTGATTTGGGCATTTGTTGTTGTTGGGTTTCCGTATCTCCTAGATTTCGTTAAGTTTTTCTCCCGGCTTTTTCTCTACTTTGTAGTCTAATGTTTAGTTTTAGTCACTCATTTTTCACATCTTTTTTGGCTGAAATATAAAACATAAAACATAGAGCGAATCATGAAATTTTAAACGTCACTTTTTCAGTTTTTGCTTTGTGCCAGTCATTCGCGCATTCACAAACTCACACAAGCACACCTGCCACAGGTAGAAGCGAGCAGAGAAAGAGAGCGATCAAAAACGAATAGAGAGAGGGAATGAGAATGCAGAAGCAAAACCAAAAAATCTCCCTCTCTTTCGCTCTCACTGCTTTTGAACCCTTTTTCTTTTGGGTTTTTAAGACTGGTTTTTTGAACCCGTTTTTCTCATGCAATTCTCACCAACACTCACACACTGGCAAATATCCGTAACTAAGAAACATTTAGTAAATTTGTTAATTAAACAAATGTTTGTTTCATTCTGCCTGGCTTTTTGGCGGCATAATTTCACACACAAAACATCGTCAATAAAACAGAACAAAAAACCAACAAAAAACGCGATCGGTACGAAAGAGAGAGATAAAGAGAGAGGACGCGCTTACTGCTTTTTCTTCTTTTGGGTAAACGCTGTTATTTGTTAATCGGCCAACGAGTTTTAACTAAAACCTTTAGATTTGCCCTCAACACGACAATAATAAACAAATCAAGAATCGCGCTACTCGGAAAGTCGCAAATCGTTCCGCAAGCGAAAAACTGAGAAACAACGCAAGCGAGAAACAACCGTTCACGAAGCGGGTCCAAAACAAACTGCGCTGCTTCTGTCGCTGCCTTTGCTGCTTCGGCCACGACCGACGATTCGCACAGTGGGATGCAAAGAAGTTCGAAGTTGAAATTTGTAAATAACACGGTGTGTTTTTTAATTCTTTGAAATAGTTTTGTAAAATATTTTAAAAAGTTTAACGGAAATCATATTTTTAAAAAATCTTAATACCAGATATTAAAAGGAAATATTATTCACACTAAATATATTCATATAAATATTATAATTATTTTAACAACGCTATCCATATTACTTAAATTGTAAGTTGTATAGTTTTTAAGTAATAATTTTTAACAATATCCAATAATTTTTTTAAGTCTTACAATAGAATAATTAATGCATTTTTTAAGCTGTTTAATACAAATATCGTGGTTTAATTGGATGAATATTATTTCATTGTGAGTATAAACTGCTGAAAATAAAATGTGTTCAATAAAATTAATGTTTGGTAAAACAATTAAAACAATTTAAGCGCATTAAATCATACCCACCACACTGTGCAAAATCCGCTCAAAGCCAGCACGCTGGTACTCAAACTCAGAACTGCCACTTCACTCAAATTTGAGCGGAAAACATTTGAGTGGCGCCATCTGGTTTCTAATTGCTGTTTGATTGAAGGAATTAGACGGCTGACTCAATCACAAACCGTAACCTTTACTGATTTGAAACAAATAAAAAATTATTTTCGAACATTCGTTAAAAACCAAATTTGTATTATGTTCAAACTTAGAGCGGAAATGCAAGACGGTTAAGTTTTGTATGAATTTTTACGAGTTTTTAATAAGAAATGGAGAGTTATTTTATTTTAAAGGCATAATATTAATGTAAAAAGTACTCTAAAGTCAACTCCTGCTGAATTTGGCCCTCTGGCATTGCGAAATTCCAGGAGCGATTTTAATGGAAAATGCATGTACGAATATGCAAATAAATAAATTCTGATTAAGTTACCCCCCTTTCGGTTTTCCCAGCGTTTTTCTTTTTGGGTGCATTCATTTTTTAAGTGTGTAAAACAACACATTTTGGCTATTAAACTTGGCATTTTCTCCGCATTAAAATTAAACACACACAAAATGTATGCAAAATGTAATGCAATTGTAAGTTGTGTGCGGTGTTTTTACCCATTTCCCCACACAAGTTGAAGAAGAAACAGCAACGCAACACGCAGAGAAAGATGCGAAATAAAATGTGCATTTCAAAATGCACTTAAAAATTGTTGTCGCTTCTCTGCGTGCGTGTGCGTGTGTGTGTGTGTGCTCTGGTGCGGTGTGCGTGTGTGTATGTCCCGCCAGAGGTCACAGGTCAACTTCGTCGCTTGCCAATTAAAACTTTTTATGCGCTGCGGCGGCTCCACACACAAAACGAGCAGCATAAACAGCCTTTTCAGAGATGACATTTAACCGAATGCGGGATACCATTTTGACATTCGATAAATGTTAATAATATTTCAAAGAAAAGCCAACAGTTTAACTGTTTGAAAATCAACTAAGGATAAAATAAATTATTTCTCTTTTAATTATTTATTATGTTTAAGTAAAGAAAGTCCAATAAAGTGCTTAAACGTTGACCGTGTCACGATATTTTCGCTAGTAACCACACACATACGATGGCAAGCGCATTTTCAAGTAACTTTATTAATGCGATTTCAGTTAATTAACAACACAACAATTACGCGGCCAAAGGGCGGCGATAGGGGGTGTTCCAGAGGCTAGGACTCGCCAAAAGGAGGAACTTTTTTTAATCAACAAAATATATATTATGAGAATGGCTGGCGCGAAGTGCACTTCTGTCGATTGCGAGAAATGAGGTCTTTAAATGCACAGATAAAAGCAACCTCATTGATGAAATAAATGAATTTCGGTTTTAAAAACAAATACAAAAATCATCCGGCAATTCTTTTCACTCTTTCTTCATACTCACTCTTTCAATAATAAATAAAAGAAAGCTGCTCGACTGTTTCACTCAATTTTGCATCTGCCCCCTTGCGCACACCCACGCATGTGTCGTATTGTTTTGAGTTGGAAATTTTGTCGTTTGCGCAACAAGTTGGCAAAATCCCACCAACGACGAGAATCTCGACAGCCGTGTGGGTGTATCCGTGCAATAGTATTTGAGTTGCGCTTTCACCACTTTCACTCCTCTGTTTGCCTGCCGCACAAGCACTCACACACACACACACGCTCAAAACCACCAGAGCCAGGCAAATCGGAAATCCAGGCAAAAGTTTTCTTTGCCCATCAAATAGAAAAAAGTGTTGCCTACCTTTCGGAGCTAAAATAACATGCGTCCTGCAAATCGGAGACAAGCCGTGAAAAGCGCAATCGTAGATTGAGCGGGAAATGAGCCACATTTTGCATGGCAGCCAAGAAAATTGAAGAGCAAAAAGCTGTTTAAAAATACCATAAAATGTCATAATATTAGCAAGGCAGTCAAAAAATAAGTGAAAAAATTCAAAGCGAGAGACATTTAACCGACGGCATTGGAGAATTTATTAAAGATGTTAAAAATACATTTCAGTAAATAAACGAAAGTCAAATTCGACGCAAATTAAGATTCGAATTATCAAACAATGCAATGACAGTTGGAATTAAAACATTTTAATAATCGCCGCCCCAGCTGACCAACCTGGTATTAAAATACATAAACAATTGTCAAATGCAATGATGTGTAAATAAAAACTGCGAAGATTAAACATAAAAATATTGACGCTGCTCAACGGGTGTAATTGTAATCTGGATGAGGCCACAACTTAAATGAAATCACATTTAAATGACCAACATAATTAAAACTCAAAAAGGGAAACTAAGATTAAACCTGAAAATGAGAAACTCCCTTTTTTGCCACCAATTAATTGTAATTGAAAAAGCTTTTCACATGCTCCAGATACCCATCTCCGTGTTATTTATTCCTCTATTTTGTGTCATTGCAATTTGACTCTTCATTACAAATTCCCCAAACTCCCGGCCAAAAAATAAAACTTAATTATGCCTAATTGAGTTAAATGATTAACGGAGCATTTCACCCCCCATTTCCATGTGACCTGTGATCCATTCAATTTCCACATGGCCAGCCGATTGGTCAGTCGGACATGGCTTAACACTCAAATTGATTTGAAATGTGCTTAAAAAATTATGCTACACACGGACGCGACGACAGAAAAAAAAAGTGAGTGAGTGTGGGGGAAATAGGAAAATGGAAAATAGCTGCACAGTAAAAAGAAAAGTCAAGTAGTCTGATACAAACTCAAAGTTCAGAGGGAGTAGTAGTATTTCTCTTTAAGTCAGTACTTTTGTTTTTCAAGTTCTTGAATCCAAGGTTTTCCATTTTCCCATAAGTAAAATGTTTTTTACTTTTATCTCTGATCGGCAGGCAGCAATTTCAACGTTAAATAAAGAGTAACTCAATTGTTGCGCATATAATATTCAATCATTTATTTCTGTGTGGTCAGTGTGCATACGAAATGCATTTAGAATAAAAAAAAAAAACAAATCACAACCGGCCAATCCGTTTCAGCTCCCCTCAAAAAACCCCCCTTTTGGATCCCCACGGGGTTTTGGTGTTGACAAGCTCGTTGGCAAATCACACAAAGTATGCAACAAAAACAAACGAAAACCCCACCGACAGCAACAGCAAAAAAAAAAGCAACAAAAACGTGATAAACAACAGCGGGGAAATTGGCAACTGCACATGCCAACCGACTTTGAATGCACTTTTCAAATAAACTAATTTGAAATTTAATTTAAAAACTCAAATAAGGAATTTAATGCTACTTATGTAGCTTCCTCACTTATAAGTCCAAATAAACCTTGGTTTTATAAATTTAATTATCAAAGAAACCTAAATTAATTAAATGTACACATAAGCTAATCAAGTTTTTAACTGGAGAATCATTAAATAGAATCATTGGCTGTCAAGCGCCATTATAAAATCAAGCACTTCCAATTTGAACCGAAGAGAAAGGGCATTATCCTAATCCGGACTAGCAGCTGTCAAATTTATTTGCGCACGAAAATCCATCTGCTTGGACCACGGACCGCAACTGCAGCCACGTACCCACCACCCCCTTTCATCCCCTTCAACCCCCTTCACCCCCCTTAAATCGCCCGCGGACTCCCATGGAGAGAAGAAGGGGGTTCGGAGGAATAGAAGCGCAACAAGTTCCAGCAGCAGCAGTCATTCCAATCCAATTCCTTTTATTGTTGTTGCTGTTTGTTCTTCGGCATTTGCAACATCGAACCCCCTAACCCCTCACCCCTCAACCCCTCACCCCCCCAATCCTCAACCCTAGTCCATGTTGCCAATCAACACCGATCCCCTCTGGCCCCGCCACCCATGGCCATGCCATTTTGACAGGGAAATAAACCAGGACTTTGCGTTATTGGCATTTGCCGACAATGTGAGCGGAGACTTCAGGACATCAGGACATCAGGACTTCAGGATTTCAGGAGACAGATGGAAGTGAAGATGCTGCACACGGGACACACGGCAGCGGATGTGGACATCCGGAAATGGACTGCCGATACGGACACGAACACTTTCGGCTAATCGAATTTAAATTTCTGTCAAATGAAGCGCATCGGGCGAATGCAATTGTTGATTGTGGAAGGTGCGAAGAACACTCAACACTTGGAGAAAAACTGTCAGAGATTCTTAGAATCACAGAATAATTCCTCATAGAGAGCCCATAACTTAGTCAATATAAATACGATTTCAATGGATTGTAGAAGCTGCGAAGAACACTCAACACTTGGAGAAAAACTGTCAGAGATTCTTAGAATCACAGAATTATTTTTACTTTTAGAAGTCCTCATAGAGAGCCCATAACTTAGTCAATAATAATACGATTTCAAGGGATATACCTGTTTTTTAATTGTCTGCAGTCATAAACTCTTCTTTAAGTTGACTAATTTTTTCTCGAAGTGTAAAGTCTGTTTGTATGCGGCAGCTCATTTATTCAAACATCCTCTTTGTGTGACTAATGCGACATTGAGTGAGCGAGTCAGCGAATCAGGAGTTGGAGTGGGATTATCCTGGAGATCCGGAGTTGATAGACTGTGGTTTCTCCTGTGCATCGTAAGTGGTGGGCGTGGCCCCGTGGGCGTAATTGCCGAAAACTAAGGTGTCAATGGCATACTGCACACATACTATACACTCGCATATCCGTTGCAAAGCTGATGATGGCCGTCATTACCGGATGTCGAACATTGTTAATCTGACACTTTATCGATTAACGAAATTACAACGCAACTTGCCCGTGGGCGGCAGGAGGTAAAAGAGGGCGTGGCCCGCCTTACAAGGTAACCAAATCATCGCTTAAGTTGTGACAAGCTGCTTTCCCCGCGGGGAAACTCGTCGATAATCGCTCAATTAGCTGCGAATTATGGCAGCTTTGTCGAAAAATGCGATTCTTTTCTATGCAAACAATTTAATTATTTATCGCAATTTCATTTAATTACAATTATTTTGCATGCCTGCCCGTTTGCACAATTTAATTAAGTGCTCTGCATTAAAACTCACAATGTTTGCACGCGCTTCCCTTTGCTGTTGGCAAAATGAAGGTAAAAGCCCAACTTTGTGAGCGGCAAAAAAAAAGGATTTTATGCTGGGTATAATCTGAAACAAAGCTGAAACACTTTTCGCACAGCTAACCAATTGAATGGAGCTCTCTTTGCCGGCACTTAGGGATTCCCCTCGGTTAACTCCCTCCTGTTTCCAATAAGTAATTTCGCTCCAATGCCGAGTGGGTGGAGCATTTGCGGGTTGGCCGGCTCTTGGCCGTCCTGCTGCATTGCGACAAGTTGGCGCTTCTATCAACTGGTGTCCAATTTGTTATGGACAGGTAAAAATGGCAATGCGCGACCCCATAAATCAGGAGTGCCGCTGGCCTCCTCCTGGCGGGGATTCCCAGAGGAAACGCTCTGGTCAGGGGCAGGCTCACTTGGCTCACTTGGCTCGCTTGCCAGACTGCAGACTGCTTGGCCAGCAGCAGCAGCAAATAGCAGCAAATAGCGCCAGCAGCAACATTGTTGCGGATTGTGGCATTGTCTTGCGGCATGCAACTCGCACCGTGGTGTCGAACCCTGGCTATCGCCAGTTATCCACTCGGAAATCGATTCAATTCGGTGGCTTGCGGGTAAAATGGTAAAATACGTACACATTTTTCATATTCGAGTACAAGTATTCTCGTGTGCACTGAACACTTTTTATTTCCCTTGAGAAGTTGCCATTACTATCCATATATATATATATAAATATTAATTTAAAAGTTTTCCCAATTAATGCGATCACTGTGCTGTAATTTTTGTGCGCAAAAACGCTACTTAACATTCTCTTTCTTTTCTCACAAAAAAAACTCATTAAACAGTGGTTAAGGATTGCATTATTTTTTGGCAACATCAAACTCTGACATCTCAACACTTTTGTTCTATCAAAAATTCTCTCTTGGTAAATTTGGTTTGCAAGGAATTGAAATAATATTGGAAATGTGTTAAAATAATGAAAATAAAGCTTAATATATCCAATTCTCAATCGACTTAATGCCAGAGTTCGCCCTCCGTTGGCGATTGTAACCGAGTGTAAGCGTTTGTCAATTATGTTTCGCATGCAGTTGAAAACGTTGCATTTCCGACGCCGCCGTTGCCATTGGCCAATGTCGTCGAGTGGCGACGTGGCCGAGAACAAAAGACGGTCAAAACAAAAGGCGCAGCGGTTGTGGGGGATCCAGAGACTCCCCTTTCCCTTTCCCTTCCCTTCCCTTCCTTCTGTGCTGTCAGTGAAGGGGGAGGGAGAAAAGGGGGATCTGGGGAAGCAGGTGGATATGGAAGGCTTTAGTCGGGTCTGGTCTTCGGTCTGAGCCCAGGCATCCGGAAGTTTGCGCTGACATTCATTACCATAATTCACAACAGCTTAAAACATTTATGTGGCTGCCGAGCCCCGAGCTCTTACAGACAGCCCCACAATCCCCACAACCCCCCTTCCTCTGCCTCTTTGGGGGAAGGACGCCTCTGCCCCTGCAGTCTGTTGTTTGCGTTTGGATTATGTGCAGGAGCATGCAAAAAGGGATAATAAGGAAAACTTGAAAATTTGTTGCAATTATTTTAACTGCCTGGAAATTGCCGTCACCCCATCTGCATGCGCCACCCAGCAGGCACTCCACTTTACAACTTATTTGTGGGGCGACTCGGTCCGCATATGACCCACGTGCCAAGACCCCCCAAAAATCCCCTGGCAAAATGTGACTCTATATTTTGGGTGTCCCATACGTGAACTTGTGTGGCTAATGTATGCCGTACACCCCCCACCCCCCACCCAACACTTTGGGGAAAAGGACTCCGGAAAAACTAGTAGTAGCTGACCAAGCAAAAAGTGAGACAGCAAACTTGACTTTGATAAGAGCCATCCCAGCATTGCATAGAGTAAAAGTGTGCCAAACGAGGGACAAAAATGTTTGCTAATATGATTACGATTTTCAACAAACAATTTATTGCTATTAATTAACTCTTGTGCGGCAGAGCGATTGGTTTAATTGAATTGGTTCTTTATTTGCTGAATAAATGGTGCAATACCAGTTTCCATTTCGAGTTAGTTTGCAATCATCTCTTCATTGGAATGGCTGTCCTTGCCAGATTTGTTCAATACTTGTCAGAGAGTTGCGTTCAGCTTTTCTATTCATTCAGATCCGGTTGTATCGTAAAATCTTCTATTTTTCTTAACACTGAGAAGAACAGGTAAGTCCATTCATTCGTGTCTGCAACATTGCGAGTAGGAAAGATAAACTTTGCACACAGAATGGCCAACTTTTTAAAGACGGAGGACCAGATGAAGATCAGCGAGATTGTCGAGAAACTGGTCAAGCAAAATTCCAAACGCTACACTAACGACGATGCCTACTTCGATCTGCCATGCTGTTCCCGGGACATATCGCTGAGTTGTCCGGAGATGTCCGGCATCCAGGCTGTTTGCGCCTTCGAGTCCATGGTCCCTCAAGCCGGATCCCCATACACTTACCGCGTTGGCCAACTGCTGAACATTGGGCGTCTGGTGGCCCACCGCATGGTGGATTCCGATGGCAACAGCAATGTGTCTCTCAACCGCGACCAGTTGAACGAACGTCTGCGATCCGCTGGAATCTACCACAATCGCCTGGGCAAACCCTGCGGACTTCTACCTGAAACGGAAAACGGTGGTCGTGGCGACACCGATCCCGGCAAGCGCAATCCCAATCTACCGACAGCTTGAAGGCTTCCCCTCCAGTTTTAATCTAATTGAATCACACAAATCACGGCGAAAATTTGATTGAGCTCGTGAGCGAGCTTTGGCTGTAAACACTTTCATCCTGATTTAAATAATAACATTTAAATACTAAATAGGATACCACAGCTCTTTTTTTCTTTATTTGAAAAAATATGGGAAGCAGCCGAAACCCGATTCAGATCATTAGAAAAGCAGTTGGCTTGTGCACGTGCCTGGATACCGTTTAATTACGTTTAGGGAAACACCGAGCGGATCTTGGCTAAATGGAAACTAAGCCAACGACAGATGCTGTCGCTCTGGCTGTCCCAACTGTCTCCTAAATCTGCATCTCCATTTCGGAACGCCAGGTTCCCCGGCGTCCCGTCTCTCGCGTGTCGTCCGTGTTTTAATGGCCACAGATTTATGAGCAGCTAATTTACTAAGCTAATTTGTTGAAATTTAAATACACTTGCAGCTGCCGGAGGCTGTGACAGCTGGCTGTGTGACACTTTTCAGAGTGAGATGTGATGCGGACGTGGGCGGTGGACTACTACAGCCACCACTCTTGCCACTTTGGCCTTCCCCCTTTTTTTTTTTTGTTGACGTTACTTCGCACGCACCACACAATTCCGTATGCAAATGCCGGGAACGACGAGGACCACCTGCAGAGCTTATCTTCCAAAAGAGTCGAGCAGATACACACGCAGAAATCCCTTGGTCAGTTTGGCCGGACAAAATGGTTTGAATTCACCAACGCAGAAATAGCGAATGGTTATTTGTACAAAAGCCGTATAGTCTTACAGTCTTATGCAATAAAAAAAAACGGAAAAAACTGGTTGAAGGCCATTTCAGTAGTAAAACAAACCACCTTTTTTATGTACTCTTGCCCCATAAAAGTGCAACCACACCGGACTCATTTGGGATTGGTGCCTGGTGCTTGTAGGGAAGCAAAAAGTTGCGAGTCACGACGACCGTAAGGCAGGATTCACGTACCGTCGGTGTCCTCCATTCATTGTCCTTCGAAAAGTCGCTTATCTGAGCTCGGCTCCTCAAGGAATTCACTTTTTACCAGTCATTATTCTTGGAATCAACGTGTAATTGGGAAATTATATCGTATACTATCTTCCTTACTTTCAATAATCACGTACTTCTGTTTAAGAATTGTATTCTCGGAACTATTGCGACAAAGTAATTGCTAAAAGAAAACTCCTCTATTGAAACAAGATACCCAGTGCGTTAGAAGAGCTCTTATGATGGCACATGTTTCATAAAAAAAGTGCATTTATCAAGGCCTGACCAGTTTATGCCCCCACTTTATTGGGTCTCAAGCACTCGTACCTGAAGCAATACATTTTTGATCCCATTTCACTCAGGCATGTGTGTAAAACAATATTCCTGATCAATTTAGAGGCACGCTCCCATGTCCATGGGCATAATGAAAATGTTTGCAAATCGCAAAAGAACACTTGTCGGGGGGCTTCGGGGTGACATGCCCATGGGCGTAGCTTGCAATAGGCGATAGCGGTTTGCCAAGGGGCTTAGGGTCCCGTGGGGAGTTACGGGGCTAACAATTGTAACACGTATTCATTTCAAGCGTTTATGCGTTGCAAGGCTTTGTTTCTACACGCAAAAAAAACATTGATCAAATAAAAAAAATTTACATGGTACTTCTAAAAATTTACTTTACTTATTTTTATTTTCAGAGGTAGTACATCACAAGGAAGGCGCTTGGAATTCCCAACCGCTTATTCTTTACTTTGTTTTATGTTCAGAGATAGTACTTTACAAGGAAGGCGCTTAGAATTCCCAACCGCTTTTTCTGAGTATTTTCCGTGTTTAGTTTTAAAGGAATATTTTTTGGAGTGCTGGCTTTATATGCCCTGGCCACTGTCCACCATCGTTGGGCCTGACACAGTTTTTGTTGCACGAGTCCTTGGGTTCAGTACCCGCCTTTCTCTGTCCGGTTTTTTTTTTGTTTTTGCCCTCTTTCCCTGACTTTACTGTACTGCTCAACTGGCTGGCGTGGCGTGCCTGTGCGCTGACAGTAAATGCTGAAAATTGAGTGCAACTTGTCGTAACTTTATTTTCAAATATATGCGGAAAGGACTAACCAGACAATGCACAATACACTCACATCCTTGCACTCGTTCTCCACATAGCCGCACTCAATGAGAAATGTGTGGCGGCGCGCATTTAACATGCGAAAATCAGGCGACAAGAGTAACGGAGTTGTTTAGTAAGAATATTAAAAGCCATTTCTAAGTTACTCAGCAATAAAATAGTGGAACAATCAACTCGTAATCCCGAATTAGCAGAGAAACAATGGGCACTTCTTAAGCAAGTTCAAGATCCCATGAAGCGAGGATTCGGTAAACGAACCTCAGAGACTTTGTTAGCTATTGAGTTGTTTTAGCTGAAAGGCAGATATCCTTCTGGAAAGCCTTGTCGCCTGTTCCACATTCATATGTGTGTGCTAAGTGTTTTGCAACAAAGTTTTTGCGTGCTTTTGTCTGCCGACTACCGACTACCGACTACTGACTACTGACTGCCACCTCCCTGCACTTCTGCACTTCGTCCTGCCGTGCCGAACCTCACCGAGATCCCTTTCCGCTGCGATTCCTGGGCCACGGCCCATCACTCCGGCTCCGGTGCGCGAGGCTGGCTGTACGGATACGGCCATGGGATTCGCCTGGTTCCATTTGCACAGACAAAGAAAATCTGATGTGCTTCGATGATAGTATTTTATCAAATGTACAATACACTCGTGTTTCAATTTAATAATTTAACAAAAAAAAATATATATTTTCAGTGTGACTTTGGATTGAACTTATCAATACATATTTGTGAACATGCTAATGTTTTTTATCAGTGCAGTACAGTACTCGGTTCCCTTCCTCGGTCTCGACTGCATAAGCTATGTGGTTGTCTCCTTTCAGGCTCAGGACCTTCCTCTTCCTCTTCCTCTTTCCTCTATCACGCTCACTGCGGTAATTTTAACGAATATGCTAGTGCTGGACAATTTCTCTTGTTCATTTTGGGTCATAAGTCGCCAGCAAAGTTCCTTTAGGATGTAAAGATCCCTCAAGGATCCTTTTTTGTTCACAATTATGGATTCAAGTACTTTATCAGGAAGCGAAATTGCAGTTGTATACCAAATGTTGTGAACCAATAAAATCTTTTACCAAAATTATACTTATGATTCGCAAGTTATTTTTTTTTACTTAAAACTTTTTGGTGGAAAGGGGTAAACTTAAGGCGAACAATTCGGAACACAACCCAAAACGGACTTTTGTGCTTTAACTTGGCCACACTGTACCAAACGGCACGCCCCCGAAAAAGCCACTGGTTAGCCGACTACTGGCCACGCCCACACACTCGACAAATCAATTGGCAATCAATGGACAGTGTCCGCTGGTTGTGGTAGTCAATAAATTGCAGGAATTTCTACATCTTGGCTTCTCCCTTTTTGTCGACGGACATTTTTAAGGTTACGCGTTAAGTGACCATAAATAACGGAAGAAGGCGAATAAGAAGAAGAAGCAGAAACGGTAAAACCAGGCTTGCACCCACATTTACCGTTATGCAGCTGAAGGATACGTGCGTTTGGACCTTATTTTGTTGCATTTTTGAGTGTGTTTCATATAAAATTCTCAAGCGCAATTAAAGCGTGACTTTAGTTGCCTTTTTCAACACCTGAAATTTTCCGCCCGTGTTTTCTTTACGCTCTCTGAACAGATTTTGCCCTTTCTTTTGCCCTTTCCTCAGATGCCCAAAACTGATATTTCCCCACACTGGCAAACATTGTTGAAAGTGTCGGAAGCAGTGCTCTAAACCCATCCCGAAGGTAGGATAAAAAAATGCGCATCCAGTGAATGTGGAAAGGACTTCTTTGAGTTTGCATTTCTTTGCCGAGCCAACCAATTTAAATATTATGCCAACAAAGAAAAAAAATTCACGAGGTAAACGGGTAGGGGAAACGGGTTTGTAAGCGATTAAAGTGTTTATGTCGAAGTCCGATGCTCTGGCAAATCATTTTTGTAAAAGACAATACTTTTGTAGAATAAATTGTTTCAAAAGAGGAAAGAAATATCTAACACAAAACCCTGTGTATTTTATACATTGCGATTAAGTAAATGTAAAATCTGGATTTCAGGACCACCAAGGATATCTTAAAATTTCCACAGCATACTTTACAGTAATCGAGGAAGTTGATTTTTCAAAGCTTTGGGTCAAGAATGCATACCACTTGTAGAGGAATTTAAGGCAACATTTTGCTGAAATGTTTGAGAACATTTTGATGGCCGAGAATACCCTTTCACACACACACACGCACACTCGTTCGCTTACCCACACACACACACAGACGAGCTGGCATTGTGTGTTCGGACAGCCGACAGCTCAATTCTCAGCTGGAAAATGCAGAATGGGCGAAACGGGGGGCAAAAACACATCTCTTTTGAAACCTAATGCGCCTTTGGCCTTTGATAGTTCAAACCTGAGTGGGAAAAAATTGAGCCAAAAATTGTAATAGAAATTTTTGTGCTGCACACACACATCGTCAAATATCGACAAGTGATGGAAATGAAGTTTCCCCTTCGGAAAACCCTGCAGCCTACAGGAAGTTTTCTAGCAATTGCCCAATTGTGTGTGCGGGGGTTTAGGAATCTTTAAAATTGCTATTGTCGATGGCACAAGGGCATCGCAATTTCACTAAATTGGTAGAGAGATAATTCTTTATGCCTTCTACCTGAATATTAAGACTGAAGACTGGACCACGAGCGCATTTCCAGTTGGTTCTGTGCTGCCCCAGATGTAAATTCCAATTTGACATTAGAAGAGCTAAAACGACTTCTAATCGGCACAAACTATATTTGTCGGCCAGCAGTTGGGCGCCATTAAAAATACAAAGCGGGGAGAGTACACTCAGGAAAAAAAGAAGCCATGATTGCGAATTAATATGCACCACATGCAAAAGTCAAAAAGAGTGTGCTGCTACTTTTTTTTTTAACAGAATCAGATAGATATTCGACTGATGGACATGTTTATATACAAAGGAAACACAATATGGGCATACGAGAATCTAATTAAAGAATTAATTTAACGCAAATAAAGCAGAGGTGATTGGGTGACAACTGTTGTGTGTGTTGTGTGTGGCAGCACGTGGCAAGTGTTGCACATCGCACATCCTCTGGGCTGCAAAAACAAGAGACTCCGATGAGGCAGGCACACGTTCGTGCTAATGGCAATGCAATTAATTTGCATTAATAATTGAGTCAACGCTTCGAATTAAAATGTATTTCAATTTGAGGCATATGGCAGACGGCCCTGAGTTGTTTTGAATTTCCGTCTGCAAATATTTAACTCAATTATTAGCCCAATGAGCACTGATATCTCCGATTTAATTGTTTATCCAACGCACACATATTTGCACACTGAATGCTGCTGTTGCTGCTGCTGTTGCTGCCAGCCAATAAATATGGAATTCGACTCATTCTCACATCGTCAGCCAGGCCATAAATGTATAAGTATTCTTTAAACTAATTACCACTGCCATGAAATGCCCATTTGCATGTGCGTCGCCTGTAAGTCGGAAAATGTCGGGCTTTTTCGGATGATTTTTTTTTTTTTTTTTTTGCTGCATACTCGTATTATTATTAAAGTTTACATTTGATTTGCTTGTGCATTCGGTTGCGGCGAACATGTAACTCAAATTAATTTCAATTTGCCGTAAATTATTTGACGCATTTGCACAAGCATGTAATTTATGCAGCATTTAATTGCGAAACTTTAACCGCAAACTAAGCGTAAGGTAAACAAATCAACGAATTTAAATTTTCCAAGTCTGTGATCAGGAATGTTTGCAGCTGTATTGAAAATTGGAAATTAGTGCCGGTTACTACCATTTATCTATTATTCGAATTGAAATAAAGGAATGGAGTATGCAGCCTCAGAATCTGGACACGAAAACCCAGCGATTCCGATGACCTAACATTATTGCTCTAGGATTAATTCGAGGACTTTGAAATTCTCCTACATTCTGAAGCCATATAATAGGGTATTGTTTTGGGAAATCCAATCCAAGCCTTTGTTCTCAGTGGCCGTCTTGAACAAATCTTAGCTTGGGGATATGGACATTGGTCGGATATATATGCCAGCACATACATATTTGATGCCAGACGACGGACATTCCTAATGAATAATTGAAGCAGGCTGTGGCTCAAGCTTAAACTTTCCGTTGAAATGCCAAACTGCTGTGAAGAAGACCGAAAATGAGCGGGGGTTATGGAAACCACACACATCACCACATTCATCAAAACCGAATCACCGAAGGATATTCGCTTGGCATTTTGCTAGTAAGTGGGCCAAAGGACTCCCCGGGCACAATGGTACTTACATCTCCCACTTGATTTGCGAACTTGTCTTTGATGTCGATTGCTGGCGGACGGACTCAAAGTCCAGCCCGTTAAATCCTTCCGGCTTTAATAGATTTAATCTTTCAAACGGGATTATTGTGAATGTACCTAAAAAAAATATTTATTAATACACATTTAGGCGGGTGAGTGTTGGAAAAGGATTAATGATTAAATAATTACAAATCTTGATATTTTCTTTCCTTTTTTTTAGCCGTTCAGTTTTTAATTTATAAAGCTCAGTTATCAGTTTTCTCTGTGTAGCCATGGGAACATTCCTGCGAGTCATATGCAAGAGCTAAATATTTTAGCAGGCCAGTGTTGGCAGGTGTCTGCAATTACCCGAAATTCAATTAAGTAATTATGAGGTCAGCGCAGGCTGGCTCATGGCGATTTAATGCGCCTCCCGTTCGACCGAGCGCCCACTATAAAAAGTTGAGGAGCAGCGGATCCGGCGATTAAACGCCATTAGATCGCCATGCTGTTCCGCAAGAGCAAGCCAAAGGACGAGGACGAGGTGGTAACCTTCGAGGAGCTCACCTCGTTCCCGATGAAGTTCTACAAGACCATCGGCGAGGATCTCTATTCGGACAGGGATCCGAATGTGTGCAGGCGCTATCTACTTAGATTCTACCTGGTGCTCGGTTTCCTCAACTTCAATGCGTACGTGGTCGGTGAAATCGCTTACTTCATCGTGCACATCATGTCGACCACAACTCTATTGGAGGCCACTGCGGTGGCGCCTTGCATCGGCTTCAGTTTCATGGCCGATTTCAAACAGTTCGGACTGACGGTGAATCGAAAGCGTTTAGTTCAACTGCTCGACGATCTGAAGGAGATATACCCCGTGGATTTGGAGTCGCAGCGGAAGTATCACGTCCCCTTTTACCAGAAGCACATGAGCAGGGTCATGAATTTATTCACCATCCTCTGCATGACCTACACCTCGTCCTTCAGCTTTTATCCGGCCATCAAGTCGACCATTAAGTATTACCTACTGGGATCGGAGATTTTCGAACGCAACTACGGTTTCCACATTCTGTTTCCCTACGACGCCGAAACGGATCTGAGGGTCTATTGGGTCTCCTACTGGGGACTGGCCCACTGTGCCTACGTCGCCGGGGTTTCCTACGTCTGCGTCGATCTGCTGCTCATCACGACCATCACCCAGCTGACCATGCACTTCAATTTCATAGCCGACGACCTGGAGGCCTACGATGGCGGCGAGCACACGGATGAGGAGAACATCCAGTACCTCCACAACTTGGTCGTCTATCATGCCAGGGCTTTGGAGTAGGTTTAAAATCTCTATAATCTAAAATCTCTACATATCTAGAATTCACTCCAAAGACTCCTGAAAGAATGCTATTCGTTCTCCTTTTACTCATTAAAAAAGAAGCATACTTTCCGGTGTATTTATAAGAGATTTTAATTCGCAGGAGAAATTAAGTTTAAAATTCTTCATTTCTTGCTGCAGCCTCAGCGAGGAGGTTAACAACATATTTAGCTTCCTGATCCTTTGGAACTTTATTGCCGCCTCCTTGGTGATTTGCTTCGCTGGCTTTCAGATCACAGCCTCCAATGTGGAGGACATTGTGCTCTACTTCATCTTCTTCTCGGCCTCGCTGGTTCAAGTCTTTGTGGTCTGTTACTACGGAGATGAAATGATTTCTTCGGTGAGTATTGAATAGTAAATTCAATGAAACATCTGCTGACATTCTAATGCTTTTTAGAGCTCTCGGATCGGCCACTCCGCCTTCAATCAGAACTGGTTGCCCACCAGTACCAAATACAAGCGCATTCTGAAATTTATTATTATGCGCAGTCAGAAACCCCGCCTCTATAAGACCTCCCACCTTTCCACCGATATCTTTCAACACCTTCATGAAGGTAATCAGCATGTCATATCAGTTTTTCGCACTCCTCCGCACAACTTACTATGGGTAAAGGAGTCACTGCCTTCAGTTGTGGCTAATCGGGAATGTAAGGTAAATGAATTGTAAAGTGTCAACAAAATGTTAAAGAAATAGTATGCATTAAACAAATCCAGACTTCTTTTAATACTCCTACTGATTCTTGTGAAAACGGAAATGCATTCAGAATTTTCCCATTTCCGAAATAAGTTTTTTTTCAGGATTAAAGAAAGAGCTTTGGCCTAAGTAGTCATAAATGTTTATAGCTAATTTTTTTACAAACCACGGGATGTTTTTAAAAATAATAATAATAATCCGATATTGTGGAATATATAAAACCATTCCACCCACACTTGCATTTTAAAGAGCTGCATCGCAGCTTAATTTGCATGTGGTCCTGCACCTGAGGCAGCTGTCATTTTGTTTCTGTAATTTTTAATTGCATATCAGCATTTTATAAATATTTACATCCCAGCTGAACACACTCACACACACACACACTGAACACGCACACAGCTGTATGCCTTTCTGGACAAATAAATCAATAAATGTCAAAAGCAATCAAAGCTCATAAAATGTGTGATTGCCTCACCGTTCTGGCACTTTAAAGTGGAGGGTGTGATAATAATGTCCGTTTGATATCTGAAGGCCGAAAGCCGTTTATTTGTGTTATATAGCTCTTGACAGGTCAAGCCATTAAGGCTAGATCCATAACCGGAGGTCGGCAAATGATCAGCGATTTGTAAGACACGCTTTTTGCGATTAGATTGTCGACATGTGTTAATTTATTGTGAAGTTCAAAAGTCGTTAAATTTTTAAGTGATTTATGTGGACAGAGAAAAATTTCGTACCTATGAGAAGAATATCAAATGCCAGTTCCTGAGTAACTAGAATATATTTAAAATCCCCCCAAGTATCATATTTAATAGCTTGTAACTCCGAAATTGAAACCAACCAGGTTTCACATTTAACTTGCTTTGTATCTGCAAGGGCTTTCCTGTATTGTCATTTCGGTTGACCGTTGTTGTTTGTTTATTGTTTGTAATGAGCTTGCCAAATGAAGCTGCCCGGGAGCTCTTTATTGATTGGAAAAATCGGAGGCCTTCCTTTTTCGTTCGTTTTGTCCGGACAGAGTCAACAACAAAGTACCGATTTCATGTCCTTGACAGCTTCACGTGCTTATAAAAACATATACGTGTTCAATTGTTTGCCTGGAATGCACACACATTTACATGGTTGCAAGTTTTTTTTTTTGTTGTCATCACCATCTTGTTGGTTTTCAATTAAGCAGCAAATATGCACAAAGAAAAATATTTTCGGAAGGCATTTCAATTGCAGTTTAGTTAAGACCACCCGGGGCGACATCGTTGAATTGGTTTGGTATGTAAACCACCGAAATACATTAAACTTTCATAATTTATAGATCCTTTCCTTTCATTTGTGGTTTCACTAAAGGAAAACTTGGCAGAACCGAAAAGTGTCTTGACATCCAACCTTGCGGCCATTCTGGCATTTTTTTTTTAACTTGAACACCTGAATCTCGTAGCTCCCTCCACTTTAAAGATTGTCAGCTAGTTAATGCTGTTTTTGTGGCCTGTTGTGGGTTGTTCGGTGGTTACAACTTTGCTGCAGTACAGCCACAAAAGACACATCCCCATCCACAAACACATGGTGAAATTCTCCCAAATGTGCCACTAATTTGTGAGCATGTGGAAATGTTTCCTTGGCCCGGGCTTTTTATGACCATCTTCCCTCAACGGGAGCGGATATAAAGGGATGAATGGAGGAGCAGGAGCAGCAGGAGCAGCTTGCAGAAGGCCGTGTTAGCTGCAGGTAAGCACGTGCCAGTTGCCAGTTATTAACAATTCGGATGGCCTGGCACAATGTAGCGCCACACGAAAGGGGTACAGTTGCGTTTGCCACCCTTTAGCTGTCAAGCGCTGACCTGCACATGCTTGTCGGACCGGAATGCAACCCTGAACATGCTCACCTAACATAACCTAATTGACAATTATGTCGAAGTTGCTACGGTCCAGATGATCTTCGTGGCGGAACTCAAAAAACACTAGATATTTGAAACTTTTTAGGGTTGCAAAATGTAACACAATCACAGGTTCCACATGGGCGGTAATTAATGACTTGGCTCCAGCTAGTATTTATAGACCCATAATTGGACTGAAATAAAACCAATTATTCCCTTCAGCTTAATATTTTAGGTAAACTGATTTTCCCTCTATGCCACGCATTAGGGCGAGTGTAATGTAGTTGAGTTACCTTTTTCACTGATTTTTCAACCCCAGCCAACGTACACACATGTACGAACCTGTATTACATTTTGTACATTTGAACAGCCAAAAATGCCGTGGAAAGTGGGCGAAAGTAATATGCATAATGTAAGTAGTTACACAGGTAAGTAGGTAACTGTGTGTGAGTGGCGGTGGGTCGGTTGCTACTGGTGGTTTGGTTGTATAAGTACCTTTAATAACTTTACTTACACGATGCTCGTTTATTGAAATTCCCCACCCGGGGGTGGCACGCGCCGCCCTCGGTCTTGACTTGACTTTACCTCGCCTCATCTTGAACAAGTTTTGGTTTAGTGTGGTTCGATCGGAGGATGTCTGCGTGATTCAGTAGTATTGAAATCTGTGAAGTTTGAAAGAATAGTTTTATCTAAATAAGTTGAGTGGGAGAATGAATATTACTACTTAAATGGCTGAAATTAAATGTAAAGAGCTATGATTTCACTTATTTGTATCCTTCAAAATAAGAAACTAAGACTTGCTATGACAAGTTCATTCTTGTGTTGCTTAAATTATCCCACGTTGGGCGCCAATTATGCGTTACTCTGCACTCTCCTACTGTTCCATTTCATATATCCCGAGCTTAAGCCGCTTAAGCGTGTCACGCTGCCATCTCAAGACAGGCGACGTGCCTCCTGTCCGTGCTCGCTGAGTGCCTGTTGGGTATTTGCACATTTTAACGGATTTAATATGAAAATTAACAGCGGCACACACATGCAAACGCAGCAGCACACACGCATTACTTAATTGTGCACGGGTGTGGGAGTTTGAGTAATTTTCGTTCATAATAATGAATCCTTGTGCCTGTTGACGCAAGTCGCTGGCAAAATAGGGAAATGAGGGGGAGGGGAACAGGCAGTGTAACAGCTGCACTTAGTTGAAAAAGTTCCTAAAATAGCAATAGCGAGCTAACCCCGCACCCTAATACAGATGTGACAGCCCTTCGGCGCACACAAGTTTAACAATTATTCAAGACGTGACTTTTTGGCATTTAAATATTTATGCGCACACGTTTTCGGCAACATTCGCCAAACAACAAGAGGCAGAACAGCCTGTAATGCCAGCACAGCACAAGAATGATAAGTGCACCTTAAACTCCTTTTGTGGCTACCCAAATTATGAATGGAAAGGGTGTTGCAAAGTTATAATGTTAGTAAAGTAATAATACCATTTACTAATATATCGTTGCTTCCAGATCGAAGTGGAGTGATTTAATCGCGGGCAAAGTAAATCTCACTTTTGTGTACGTGCATGAATGGAAATCGTGGACCTCATCAAGGGCTCAGCTCCCACACCTCTTGGCTTTCCGCATGTTGAACTATGTAAATTGCTGCACTTCATTTGCCTGTCAACTGCTGCACTTCGCCCCACCCCCTCCTCGAGCTCTCCCCGAAGTTTTGCCATTGCCATTGCAGTTTTTGGTTCCCATGCAGTCAAGTACGACGACGAACGTCGCCGTCGTCGCCTAAGCAACATAATTTAAGCATTTCCCGAAACGAAAACAAAGATTTTTATCAAGTCTTCCGGCAGCGGGAAGGCAAAGGATGGATTTTTAGTTTTTTAGTGGGTGGAAAAGTGGTACGCAGCCGCAGATTTATGCGTTCAGTTCAGTCAGCAGCCAAAATCAAGGGAAAACAATAAGAGAGAATGCGAGGAAGGGAAAAAGCAAAGGGCTTGGGAAAATTCACTCGTTTTGTGCAGGAATTTATTGGCTTAACTCTGGCTGATCTGTCTAATGTGGTTTCACCCGCTTTGCATTGTGCATTTCACACAATAACAAATGGAATTGGCATAACCGTTCGGAAGCTTTGGATTATAATATTATCGGCATCTTTAGAACTTTGGTTTAGTTTTTTGAGTTCCAATTCTGTAGAATACAAGTGTTTTTTCAAAGGTTTATATATAGTTCAGTTTTGCTTTGATCCACTGGCTTATTTTCTCTCTGGTTTTGTTTGGTTTTTTTGCGTTTTGGAGCCAAAACATCGCCAGTTCATTGCACTGGGGAATGTGGAAGTGGGGCAGAGCTGTTTACCTGGAATTAAGGCCCCCGATGCGGTCACTTTCTGTGGGCGGTTGGTTCTGCGGGAGGGGGAGGCATTCACGCGAAACGCGCGTTAAATGCTTTCTGGTTTTCTGCCACCCCTTTCACCACCCAGCGCCCACTGCCCACCGCCCACTTTGCCCGCCCTTGCTGGCCAATTAATGTGAAAGTAAAAGCGAGACACGCTCGCACATGCAAATCCCGATGGTCGCTAATGGCGCCCAATGTGCTGGGCATCTTGGCCCATATAAGCGCAAAGGCAAAAAACTGAAAAACGGACACGACATCTCCCTTTGCTTGTCGAACATGAACCAAATATGCATGGCGCCAGCAGCAACAACAAATGTCAACCGGGAGAAGCCAACAACAACAGGTGGCAAAGGTGAGAAGCGCATAGTATCCTGAGATTTCGATTTAAATTGAAGGAATCTAAGGGATTTAGGATAGCACTCAAGCTCATTTTATTCAGATTTTCAAATAATCGATAACACTTATCAGTGGTATCGGTAAGGCAACATTGATTCAATTCTTAGATTTAAGATGTTTACGCCTAAAAAGGAGGCAAACGTCATATCTGATTGCTTTGGGATATTTGTTAAGTTGTTTTTTTCTTTTTTGCCTTTTCCCCAAAACGTTGACCACTGTGTTTGGCTTACATCCGGGTCAGGCAATTCAACCATTCGCCAAGCCACAAAAAAAAGAAAAAAACTATGTATTGGAC